GGGGCGTCGGTGGGGAGGCCGCAGATGAAGCCGGTTAATCTGTCCTGAATTAGAACGATCCCAGATTACTCTCAGAGGTCACGCAGGCTCTGAGCCTTTTTCACCGACTCAGCACTATAACACACCTTTAATCTATTCTGCTGCACTCTATTGTTTCAGCCTGTTTATGTCTCTTTGCTGGAGCAGAGGAAGGTCGCAAAGGGTCGGATAATATCCAGGGGAAGTCCAATTTGGGAATTTATACTTTTTTTTTTAACCTTTTTTAACAGTGAACTTATTTTTGGGGTGGAATACAAAAAGTTCCCCCAGTTTATTACTTGCATCAAGACAAGAACGTTTTGTATTATAAGATATGCTTATGATATGCATATGACATGGTACATCTTGCCTGAGCAATTAACCCTTATATTTAATTTAATTCCCACGGAACAGTATGTTTGGATATGCAAATGAGGTGTTATCTTATTACATATGTACTCATTTTCATACATTCCCAGAACAGAAATCTGAACATTGTATAAAGCCAGGCTCAACATTCTTGTCTCGTTTTGTTGACATGTTAAAGTCAAAGGTTTCTGCAGAGGGCATCAGGGAAATCAGAAAATACTGTCATTGTTGGCACAAAGAGACACCCTGAATCCACCTTATTTGTCATAACTGGAGAAGCTAAACTGGCCAGGGAGGAAGTTTATTTACCTATAATTATTTGCAGAATTTATAATAAATGATCTACATATTTATTACATATGAATGAGTTTATTTGGATGCATGTATCTTTTTGCATTTATTATTCATTTACAAATTCAACTTTTCATGGAAGGGAGACTCTCCCGTCACTGCCTATTCATCATATTTATTTGAAGGACTAGAGTGTAGGATTTGGCGGCATCTAGTGGTGAGGCTGCAGACTTGTGCATCATTTGTCCATTCTGGGCTATTGTAGAAACATGGCGCACTCCGTGAAGAAGTCCCGCTTTAAACCAAGCAGAAAGGGTTAAACAATAAAGACCTACACACATGAATAAGGTAAAGAAATATGTAAATTGTGTTTTTTGATTTTTGTTATATCAAAACACAACTTGTACTTTAGATGAAACTTCCTAAGTGTAGACCGCTGTGGAAAGGTCAAGGCAAAGCTTCAGCTGAGGATAACGAGCAGGATGAAGACTTCTCCGGGCTTTACGGGGCCAAAGGTCACCAATAACAAGCTGTCAAACTGCTGGGACAGGTTTATTTGCAAGCTGTGCGAGGCTGCAGTTAATTAAATAAGCTACTGTGTGATGCAGATCCAGGATCAGCGTTGTCGCTCTCATAATGATTTCCCCCCTTCATTTCCTGGACCACAGCCACTCTTCAGGTCGACCCCCATTTTAGAGAGAGACGGACAACTTCAGACGTTAACAGATATGCAATCAGGATGGTTTACTGATTGAGCTTGTAGTGCAGGATGAGGACGGCTCAAATCTAATCGAGGATGCTCAGACAGACGCACAAACCAAGAAGGAACTGTTTCTGCAGCTGCAGCAGAAGGAGAGCGGTCGACTAGCTGCTCACATTTGTTTGCTTTGCATGTAGCAGCAACAGCATTAAGGTCTACGAGGCTGAAGGATGCAACTTAAATGATGCAAATGTTTGATTTTGAGGAGTATTCTAGTAGTGATTTGATAAATCCGCCAGGTTGATATATTGGCTGATATTAACACATTGCAGATATATCAATATCGGCGTATATGTCAGCTGACAAACGTCAATAAACAGAAGTACAGCAATGCCAACGATATGTCTTTGTGTTTGAAACAGTTTCAACATTCTACAGTTTGTCCACCAGACTGGTGACAAGTTTATTTTTCCGACTCCCTCGAGGTTCTCTCTTTCTGTAGGTTTTTAAATTCCTTCTCGGCAGTTAATGAGCCGCTCTTCCTCCATTTCACCGCCGGAGGAACACAATTGATGACCCCTGCTGTTCAGGAGCAGTGGTAGCTGGAGTGCAGCAGAGGGGGGGGGGGGGGGGCCTTGAGTTTGTGCATAATGGAAGCCTTTTGCTCGCAGCGTTTACGGATGGAAGTGGTGTGTCCATCAACGCTGGAAGTCTAGAAGGATGCGGGGGGCAAAGAGCAGGCAATTTGATATAATCAAATACTGTCTCCTCTCCCTCTCTCTGCACAGAGCGCTCAATACAGTGACTTTGTGGACGAGCTGACCGAGTACAAGACCAAGAGCGTCCTCGCCATCCCCATCATGAACGGCAAAGACATGGTGGCCGTCATGATGGCCATCAACAAGCTGGACGGGCCGCGCTTCACTGCGAAGGACGAAGAGGTAACATCGAACTGGAAGTCCACCCTCAGCACACTTTATTCTAGTGATTCAGTCACTTAAAATAAGTGTAGAGCTCTTTGAAAAACCTTACAAAGTGTCTCAGAACAAACTATGTTCCCCTCTATGTATTTTACCGTTACTTACTTTTGTAATGCTTTTTGTCACTTCTCCAAACTGACTGCCTGACTGGACAGTGATCCAAAACTATGTAACTCCAACACAAAGTTTACAATAATTGTTCATGAGGTCTGTCATAAACGCTGCATGAAACCATATGACGCAGATGCAGCATCACTTGTTCAGTGTCAGCTCTGTCTCTACCCCAGAACCGTAAAGTTAACAAATAACATCTCTTATAACTTTATACAATCCTAGCTACTTGCATTGGAGCGGAGCTGGTAACGCTGAACAGCACACTCTGCAGTTAGCTTTTTCATGACTTTGTGCCGTAAATATATTGCCTTTATTATCCCGGGAGACCGTACGCAGACAGAGCTGCACAGTGAGGCTTATAGGGAACCAGTCTAAATGCAGATGTATTCATTATTCTGTAGCCATTACATTTTGTTATCAACATTTACTTCATAATGATAAAATAAGGCAAATGTATGAGCTGAAAAGGCTTATAAATGGACAAGTGCTATCTGCACCCAAAAACTGTATTGAAGACTCCGAGGCCTGACTTTACACTTATTTTAATTCCAAAAACAAAGACGTTTTATATCCCACTAAAACAGCAATGCAGAGGTTGCAGAGGGCTGTAACACTGATTAAAGAGTCACACTAAAGGATCTCTGCCGAAACAATAACAACAAGTCTCTGTGGCATGCAGTCAGAATACCACGCAGATATGATACACGATACACTTTCTCTGTCAACAAAGACGAGACGATGCTACCTTTCGGTTTAATATCACCTGTCAAACACGGCAGTTTGACAAATATAAATATTGGCAATGTTTGATACGTCTGCCATTTGAAACATGTCCCCTGCTCTGACTGATGGCACAAAGGTAAAAGTAGCTCACGTACGATAGAAAACAGAATATTATAATGGTTATGCTTTGGCCTTTGAAATAAAATACAGGTTATTAAAGAAGAGAAACAACAGTGTGTTTAGCACTCACAAACAAATAAACTCACTCACTCTCCATGTCTCAGTATTAAGGAACGTGTGTGCTGTTTCCTTCCAGACTCTGAACAAGTATCTCAACTTTGCCAACCTGATCTTGAGAGTTTTCCACCTGAGCTACTTGCACAACTGTGAGACCAGGAAGGGACAGGTGAGACTGCAGAGCATGCACTCCGTCCTTTGGCATCTGACCTAGCCTTTTTTCATCTCAGACTCAGATCAGATGTTTTTAAGAGACAGTGTGACTCTGAAAGCACAAACTAACCAAAATATGGTGGAGGCAAGTTACAAGAAGCAGTAAGATAGCAGTAAGATAGGAGGGAGATGTCCAAGTTTAAAGCTCGGGGTCTGAGGCGTGTGCGTGAACGTTTTTAAACTGCTGTGTTCTGTCATCCAGGTGCTGCTGTGGTCGGCCAGCAAGGTGTTTGAAGAGCTGACGGACATAGAGAGGCAGTTCCACAAGGCCCTGTACACCGTCAGAGCTTTCCTCAACTGTGACCGGTACTCCGTGGGTCTGCTGGACATGACCAAGACCAAGGTGGGTTAGCATGGATACACAGCCAGAGTCAAGGACACGGTGGGGAGTCTTAGTTTGAGATGATCAGGTTTCCTCAAATGTGAAATCATATCCAGTTTTTAGGGAAGAAGTTTTTCAAATCAAATTTGGTTCAACAATCTGCAGGTATGATGATACAGTATCACAAGCTCATGTCTTTCTTTTTCTTATATGAATGATAAATAAATACACAAATATAGATAACAGAATACTTGTACAACTAAAACACAACTGGTAGAACACAAAGTCAACCTTTGCATTGCCTACACGCCACAAGCGCACAGTCCAACATGTATGTAACCACAGTGTTACACATTTACTCCTGCACACACTTCATGTACCCACATACACACAGCTGCATGCAGATGCGTGCATAAGGTCAAATAAGTGAAGCTTAAGAAGTCAAAACACTTTAGATTTGGGAGCAATAATCCACATTTAGGGCTTGACTTTGGTCTTAAGAAGCTGGATTGCAGCCACAGCGCTTCTTCACCCCAAATCCTGAGACTTCACTTTAAGCACGAGTTACAAACAACCATCACATCCTGGAAAACAATAATAACTGTATATATACTGTATGTATTGATGATGAATGTTTACAAATTTGAAACTGCGTGCATCCAGTGCTTATTAATATTGTCCTGTTGTGTTTGTACCATTCTCATCCCAGATGAGGTTTGATGAGATCTGTTTCTGTTTGTGATATTGAGATATTTTCAGACACTCCTCTGGGGTTTCTCTGATTGATCTGCACGCGTCTTCTTCTGCTTCCGTCCCTCCCTTGTGTCAAAGACAGAGCTAACACTTCAAACCATCTCCTGATCAGTGTACGATCCCCCACGTACTAACATGTTGTCATAAATACTACTTATTTGCTGTGGCTGTCACCTAATTACAAGCAGCTGCCAGTTGATTCCTAACACCTGCTATCTGAGAACAGACACATGTTGTCTGCCTACACAGATGGTCGTCTGGTTACTACACTGGATTTCAAGCACTCAAAAATAAACAACACTAGTAGCTCAGCTTTGAGCCCCTGTTGTTGGAAACGGTGCACTTTGTGATGACGGGACAAAACGTTCCACACACTAGCCTGAGAGGTGGCTGGAATTAGCATTTTCAGGCAGAATGGTGGTGTTGGATGAGCCTCCAATTAACAGTAAGTGCATCTAAATAATGAAACAACAGAAAGCAGCTGTGTCAGCGATGTTGCCCTCTCTAAATCTGAAGGTTCTCTCTCTCTCTCTTTCTGTGTGTGTGTGTGTGTGTGTGTGTGTGTGTGCAGGAGTTCTTTGACCTGTGGCCAGTCCTTATGGGAGAAGTTCCACCATATGATGGACCCAAAACTCCTGATGGCAGGGTGAGGAAATATTAACCTCTGCTACTACAACGACTGTGTCCCCTTGAGCACCATTGGGCTGCTTTTAAGACCAATAGTAATCTGCTTAATGACACCTTTATACTATTTTAATAAGTACTTCTGTATAGTTGAGCGTGAAAGGTCAACCTTGACCTGATAAATGAGCAAACCTGGAGCTTGAGTTGTGTTGGTATTTCTCTATACATTAGTGTCTCAGTATACGTTTTCACAGTGATTCTTTGGACTTTAATCGACTATTTAAAAATGGTCTTCCCTTAATCAAGAGTCAATATTGTCGTGCAACATGACCAGTGATGATGAGTAAGTGGCTGATGTTGGGAGCGTTTCAAAGGACCGAACTGATTTTCACTTCATTCGTCTTCTTTACACACTGACTCTAATTTTTACGTCATTTGTCTCCTCAAGGAAATTGTCTTCTACAAACTGATTGACTACATCCTCCACGGAAAAGAGGACATCAAAGTCATACCGTAAGTCAACACAGAGCTCTAGTCTAAAGATACACGGGGTTTTGTTTGCTCTCGTGCACGTGGACGCACATGCACGTGGTGAACGGACACTACACATACCGACGTACAGGAGGCTGTAAAATGATAAGAAACAAAGCAACGCACCAACAAAGGCAGGGAAGAAGAAGAAAACATGAATGTAAACGATGCAGTTTAAGAAAGACGCAAGTAAGAGGCATTCAACCTGTTTGTTAGACCTCAAACATTTAAGGTGATTGGAGTGTGATTATTAGATAACGACAGGATATTAATGCAGTTTTTTCACGTTTCGTCATTTACACGATTACTTTGTTGAAGATGATCATCATCGTGTTGTGTTCGTCCTCAGGAATCCTCCGGCGGATCACTGGGTCCTGGTTAGCGGCTTACCGACCTACGTAGCAGAGACTGGGCTGGTCAGTGTCTCTTTCTTTAGAGCTCCTCTTCCGTTAGTTCGAGACATCTTTGAACACATCTCACACTATCATTTGAAATGAAAATAAACTCTCAAACCCAGTTTGTGTCACAAGAACATCACCAGTTTCATGCAACTTTTTTGCATGTTTCTCACCAGATAGCGAAACATTTATTAATCTTTGCAATAAAGTTAACCTTTGACACTTGTTGGGTGTCAAACTGACTTCCTCTAAGTGAGAGTTATGCATATTTCATCGTTGTTTTTCCGTTCTCTGCATGTCAAACCGTTCTCTAAGATCAGAGGTGTTCTCCAGGCATCCTGCGTGTTACATTGAGTTATTGAAGGACACAGTTTCAGCTCACATGGTTCCATGATGAGTGAGGGTTTTGAACATGTGACCTTTCAACAAACTGCTCCGCCACCCCGAAGCTCAGCCATGTACGAATCAAACAACACCTGAATAATGAATGAAAGGCGAGCGAGCCGATTGAACAGTAGACGGCTCGGTTCAGCAGAAGTAAGAAATGACAACAAACGCCGGTCTGAAGATACGAGACGGAGCGAATGTTTTATTTACGGCAGGTTTGGTCAAACAAGTGGAACAGGAATCACAACACGAGGTCTGTTCGGGACCTTAGATGACGGTGTGAGGAATTTACAGATTTGAATCGTAAACACAGATCTGATTATATCCAGCATGTTCACAAATACAGCCTACACGGAGTTCAACAAGTCCTTTAGTGTTGAGATTGCAACAACCAAAAGCAGGAATTTACAGTGAGGGACTTATAAATATGAATAAATAAAATTATTATTATCTATACAGTTTTTGTATTTCCTGACTAACTGTTTTCTGTCACTGCGGTGTGTTACATGTTATGATGATCAGTGTGCTCTTTGAACAAATACAATTCTAAACACATTTTGACATCCGGTTGATCCCCAAAATGTCTACATTTTTCTTGCAGTATTTTAGGATTGCTGCTCCGAATGTACTAATGATAGTTGTATGAAATAATAATTATAAATAAGATGAACAAAAATAACTCCTGTAGGCAGTTATTTGTATCAAAGCAGCTGATACAGATGTTCATGTTGACTAAAACTTCAACTTTATTCAGAGATGACTTTGGTGTATTTAGTGAGATTGTCTTGGGTGTATTAATGGACATTATATGGTGGGATTAAGGATCACGAGTATGTTTGTTAGATCCATTCGGTTCTATTCGTAGCTTTGTGAAAGCTCGTCTTTACCTCATCACCCGTTGTGTTGCAAAATGCCTCCTCCACATTTCTCCCTCTGACTTTCAGAGAACAACTTTCCTTTCCTTTGAGTCTGTGTGAAAGCAGTGTCCTTTAAAACATCTTAATTTCAAAATAGCTCCTCTGGAAGCTGCGGGTGGTCAGAGGAGCAGAACGCCATTAGGCCTTATTACACAGTTGTCAGTGTGCACACCATTGTGGAAATGAAAAGTGTTCAGCCACACGCTGCTGTGATGTACTGTATATATGTAATTTCTGCAGCCGTTGTAATTAATCACAGTGATACTTCCCCAAACTCCCTTGTCCTTCCATCCCTCCTTCCATCCCTCCTTCAATCCCTCCTTCTATCCCTCCTTCTGCTTCACCCCGTCTGTCCTCCCTCTGTCCTGTCCTTCCATCGTCTTCTCCGCTTGTCATTTTTCAACTCGCCATCATCTCTCCTCCCTCATCTTCTCCTTTTTTCTTCCTCTTCTACATCATGTAAAAGGTGAACTTCAGCTTCACCTTTCCACAAATGGAGGATAAAATACATGTCAGAGTGACACTAATGGTTTAGATGTGACACGAGGGGATCTGAATGGATTCACAGTACGACTTGGTCTGCTCTTGAATATCACATGTGAACATGTGAGGGTGTACTTTTTGTGTTTCATGTGTTTTTCTCACATGAACATTGTAGCAACTGTCATCACAAATGTCATTTCTTTTGTCCCTTTTTTCCACAGATTTGTAACATAATGAATGCAGGTCAGGACGAGTTTTTCAAATTCCAGGTAAGACAGCTGCAACCTTTTTCATTTTCTTTCTAGGAAGCGCTGTTTAAGAGAACGAGAGCGAAAGTTTAAGACCAAAACAACTGTACGACATTACTACTAAGAGACTTGTTAAAACAGTGAGCCTCAGTTCTTCATCGTGTCTGTAGAACGCTCTTTGTGTAATTGATGAGTGGTCGGAAGGTACAGTAGCTGAAATGTGTGTTTCTAGGAACGTTAAAGCAAAACTTCATCTTAAAACTAGCTTCAGCTTTCTGACACATTTTATAATACGTCTCCGTCCTCTATGGTCTAATGATAATTTATTGGTGCGCCTTAATGGACTTGTACTTACAGCCGGGCCACATAACCGCAATTCCAGCCCTGGGACCTTTGTTGCATGTCATATCCATCTCTCTCCTCTGTCTGCACTCTGTCATATGAATATAGCAGCGTATTACCGACGTTGTAGGAAAGAGTAAAATAAAACACTGAGGCGTGGGAAGGGGAGTAATATTAAGGGATTAAAGTTGGATATTCTCTGAGATTAAAGTCATAAATTTGCGGAAAAAGAAACTCTGAAAACATAGTTGTTGTTTTTTTTTGGCCAAGGAGCCACATCGCTTCACTTCGCCATGTTGGATCAAGCTCATCCCACCACAGGCACCGCCGCTTGCCGTGTATTATTCCTGCAGTGTCAAATTATAATTTGCAATCGCATTTAGCAACAATGAAATACTTGTGAATTCTGCTCAGAATCAGCACGTCATCATAAGACTTAGAAGAGACGGTGCTGTGAATATGGCCAATTTAGTGGAAAACAACTTCCTGATTTAAGCTTTTAATTGTAAATTTGAGGGTTTTTTCCCCCATAAATGTACCATATTAATCTGAGAGATTATCCAAGTTTATTTCTCGTAAATGAACATCTTTAATCACCACATTCCCCTTTTTTTAACCTACAATGTCTCGAATACGCTGCCGTGAATGAAGGCAAAAATGATCTTAAATAAAGGATTGAACTCTTGCTGCTTTGCTTCCAAATGTAATGAATATCCATGTCGATATAAATGTCCAATTATCAGCTGTTATACATTTACATTAAATCACTTGGCGCACTCTGTTCTCCAAAGCTCTGCACAAATGTGATCGTCCACAACCGGTACCACGTTCATTTGATTCATATGATTTGTTCTCTTACATTTATTTATCCGGGAGAGAATACATTCAGCACCGCCCAGCGTCACCTTCATTACTTTATGTACATTAGTTGTTGCTGTGAGAGCAATTTCCCTCATTATCTGTAATCAGATTTGTATGTAAAGTAACAGATGACATTAGCATATCACAGTCAGATTACAGTAATTGCATTATATATATATATATGAGCCTTTACTCTTGAGTGATGTGAATGAAATGTAATAGAGCTTATATGTTGAAATACTATATTAAAAAAGTAATTTAGCTACATAATGTGCTCTCATGAACCACCAGGGACCCATTCTGCCTCATAGTCCCCCATGCTCTGCTCTCCTTGGTGTAAATGAGATTTCTGAGGGCTATAAAGCGCCCGTAGTATTTATCCTTATTATACTCTGTGTCTGTCATCGGTTCTGCACTGCAGATAACAATGAATGTTAACATGAAAATCCACCTCTTCTCTCAACGTCTGATCGGTTTGAGTTATTTTGTGATGACGTGTTCACGAGCAAGCTAAGGAAGTGTTTCAGTCGTATTGAAAACACACAGTAGGATGGTTTGTTTCTTGCTGCTTTGCATTCTGGTCCTTCTGCTCCTGTTGAAATCTGTCTGTCCCAGATCCATACTCCAGAACCCGATGTCTTCTTTAATGTTTAATGCTTTTTTTGAGGATTGGAAAGATTTTTGCAGCTCTCCGCATTGCGATGTAGCGGAAGATTATGCATCAGCGGCACACACAGTAATTGCCCGTATGAGTATACGTATGTTATTTTCCACATGGTGTGTCTTTTTCCTGTATGACCGCTGAACACCGGTGCAACCCGCCTCAGTCTCTCTGCTGTTTTTAGTGCTTCTGTTCATCTCTACTTTCCCTCTTCTCTGTTGCTGAATGCGTTGCGTTTTACTACCTTGTAAAGCACCTTAAAGTGCAGTTTTATGAAATGACTAGATAAATGAAGTCGATTTTTACGGGGAGGTTTTATATCGCTGAAACCTGTCTCATCATCAAACTGCTGTAAATAACTCTCATATCCGTGACGAAGAAACACACAAACTCTGGAGTTATTTTTCCACGTTTTTCATCCATTCAAAATAAAATGAGAGAACATTTGTTGTTACAGCTGCTTTTAAAAAGGTCATATGTAGTACATGTTAAAGAATGGAATCTGATGGGTCACAGAACACCGGCACAGAAGCTAAGCAATGTAATGGAGAAAAGAAGGCTGATAATAGTGTAAGCCTTTGCTATATTCAGACTATTTTCACTAATTCACCCTGGTGTCAGACGGTCCGTTCTGATCAGGAACTGAAGCTGTTATCTATGCTTCTCCTTTGACAATGACAGTATAACCTTTACCTCGTAGAACACAGACGTTATTCTACCGCCGCCTCTATCGGTTAAAGCAGTAGAGTCAACTCTCCCTTCAAGCTACACAGCTTTCCATTGAAGGATGGAACTTTCTTTTTTCATTAAGTTCTTTGTGACTCTTGACAGATAATCCAAGTAAAATCTTCCACTTTGTGATGAAGCTGAAGTGCAGAAGTATGAGCCCGTTTTAAAAATGAGACTTCATCAACTGCTCCTGCAGTGTTTTCATATTTTAGGAGCAGTGAGCAGGTGAATTATTGATTCTCTCTCATATTTCCTCTGGATGGAGAAGGTCATATTACATTTCTGTGGGGTTCCTGCTTTCTTTATTACAAAGTAGTGGTACGGGGTAAAAAAAAAGGCCCAATATTACTGCCTAAACATATCAAAGAAAGTACATTCCTATTCATAGTCATTGCATGTTGAAGTGTGTGTGTGTGTGTGTGTGTGTGTGTGTGTGTGTGTGTGTGTGTGTGTGTGCGTGTACGCACAGAAAGAGCCTCTGGATGACTCCGGCTGGACCATTAAGAACGTCCTGTCTATGCCAATCGTCAACAAGAAAGAGGAGATAGTGGGTGTGGCCACATTCTATAATAGGAAGGATGGGAAACCCTTTGATGAAATGGACGAGACGCTGATGGAGGTACAGGCGCAGTGTGTGTGTGTGTGTGTGTGTGTGGCAGCACTGAGTCATTGCTTTATAAATATGCTCGGGCCATTCAGAGCATCTGCATTATTTATCATTGGGCCTGGAGGCTTTTTACTAAAGTTTCTCAGTCTGCCTCACTGCTGAGAATCCAGTTAAGATGACACAACATGACAGTTTGATCCTCAACTGTTCCTTAAAATCACTCTTTTTCTGAACAAGTTTCTTTTTGACATCTGAACGTGATTTAGCATTCATTAATAACTGCACAGCCGAGGTGATGTGTAAGCTGTTAGATCTGATGTTTGTCAAACAGTGTAAAGTACATTTACTCTTGTACTATGTCTAAGTACTTGTACTTTACTTGAGCCTTTACATATGAAGCACATTTGTACACATTTGTTACTTTGTGCTACATTTAATTTATTTGTCACATATTGCTAGTTACTTTAAGATTTTACATACAAACCATATGATCAACATATAAAATACAATGAATTATTACACAACCCAACAGGATGTAAAGTAGTTACACTTAGACGTCGCCTGATGCAACATTAAAATGCTGCTTACATGTGAGGGCCCCAGTGTTAACGAGTCAGTAAGTACGTAAGTAACTAAAAGTTTTTCTGAGTAAGTTTTGAATGCAGGACTTTTCCACATTGTGGTGTTTCTACTTCTTCCACCTCTGACAGGCAGAGGAAGGCAGTTAGCTTGAGAAGTGATAGCCACCATGGCTGAACAGAAAGAAAAAGAGTGTCACCTACTCTTATTAAAAAAAGAATAAAAGCATTTGACATACCTGCCACCAGTAATAGGCTGCTAACTCTCTCTCTCTGTCTCACACCATGTGTCCAGTCTCTGACTCAGTTCCTGGGCTGGTCGGTGCTGAACACCGACACCTACGACAAGATGAACAAGCTGGAGAACAGGAAGGACATCTTCCAGGACATGGTGATGTACCACGTCAAGTGTCGTAAGGATGAAATCCAGCACGTCCTGGTTAGTGGATAAATATGTCAAAGAGGGATCAACTACCGTAGAGATAAATACATCACTGAAAGGCTCATATGAAAACCTTTGGGTTGAATTAATGTATTTTATGTTTCAGTCCTACTAGAACATTCAAAACCTTTTTAAAAGTCAAGGATTTTATTGTTGGTTTGTTGGTAAAGCCAAGTGAAAATACTTAATTAATGTATTCTTTTCTTTACTTGGCCTATTGAGTCCTCTAGAGATATGTAATAATGGTTATCATGACAGAGAGGCATATCTGATGGCCCCCATGAATTAAAGTCAAGACAATGTTTCCGCAAAACAAGTATGAAATGTGTTATGGAATCTCTAAAAAGAAAGATTCTTCACTACAATAGCACATTTTAACGTTGGTCGTTTGTACATAAAATTCGGCATCTCGAGTGAAACATTAAAAAATGTGTGTTAATGTTGACATTAGGGGCAGTAGGGTTCACATTCAGTGCTCCAGTGATGAGATGAAGAATGTATTTTTAGTAAAATAGGAATACACGAGGAATGGATACTTTCTTTCTCCGTTGATGTTTGTGTCAGCCAGAACAAAACCAGTGTGCTTGAAAGCAGTCGGTTGATATGGATGATCTAAACAGGAGGCGTGCATCGTTTATAAACTGAAATAAGCTGCCAGCTTTCTTATGAGGTGATTTGTCAGCGGACGGAGAGAGACAGAACAAGAGCAGATACCGGATTTGACCTTAGATCAGGAAGTCGGCTGATTGATGCCGAACCATTTCATCCAAGGTGAGCGCTGATGTTGTGTGTTTCCTCCAGAACACCAGGGAGAGATGGGGGAAGGAGCCGGACGCGTGTGAGGAGGAGGAGCTCCAAGAGATTCTGGTAAACAACAACAAGAAACTTCCACTTTGTGTTTCAGTCTTGAACTCCAAATACATTGTCCATGCACAAAAATAAATACATTTCCCATGATGCAAACTAACCAGTTATTGACTCTACAGATTAAACCTGGACCTTTTGGTTATTCTGTTCTTCCATCTTTCTCTAAAACCGCTGTGTGCTCTACATTCACACTCAGATCTACGTCACAATGATCGCTAAGTATGAATTTGTAAGCGTTTGTCCGTCTCTGACCACAGTCTGAGGTCCTGCCAGACTCTAAGAAAGCTGAGCTCTTTGAGTTCCACTTCTATGACTTTCATCACACCGAACTGGAACTGGTGAAATGTGGCATCAAGATGTACTACGAACTGAAAGTGGTGGACAAGTTTCACATTCCCAGAGAGGTGAGTAATTAGTTGGTTAGTTAATTCATTAAGTCCTCTGTTGGACAGTGTAAGAAATATTCTGCTTCAAGCCATATATATATATATATATATATATATATATAAAATCATACACTGTCATTTTGTCATGTAAACACAAGTTAAAAGCAGGAGCCTGTGTGTGCTTGCAGGCCCTGGTGAGGTTCATATACTCTCTCAGTAAAGGCTACAGGAGCATCACCTACCATAACTGGAGACACGGATTCAACGTGGGACAGACCATGTTCACCCTGCTCATGGTGAGTGCGTGTTGTTATTGTTTATATATATATATATATATATATATATACAGCCCCTACTTGGACATTGTGTAAATGCCTCCATTTGTCTGTGTGCTGTAGTATGTGCATGCATGTGCACATATGTGATAATATTTGTGCATGAACTCAGTGAATCATGGATGCAAACTTCCCAAGTCTCTAAAAGCGGACCTCCTCGCTCCCTCTGCCTGACTTGTTTGTGTGTGTTTGTGCTCTCAGACGGGGGATCTGAAGCGCTACTTCACAGACCTGGAGTGTATGGCCATGGTGACCGCCGGCCTCTGCCACGATATTGACCACAGAGGAACCAACAACCTTTACCAGATGAAGTAAGAGATACAGGGAGGCGGGGGGGGGGAGGTTTCAGCATTTTGCTTATTCAACAGAAAGAAAAGCATTTGTATTTTTCAAAAGTGGCAACTAACATAACTAACATACCTTTTAGAAGTAACTAGTGAGCTGGACTGACCTTTGGGATTTTAGCCCATTGAATCAAAATTGACGCAACTTCGACTTTATGTGTGTATGTTTTAATCTTTAACTTCTTTGAAGGCGTTCTAGGCTCTTGGGATTCATCGGGTATCAGAAATCTGTTGGAGAGCACCGAGGGCGTCTCAATTATTGGCTTCAGGGTTTGATAAACGAGAACATGAAAGCTACTGAGGCAAGAAGAGACCAGCTGAGTCACGAGTACTTTAAACAGAGAGGCTGCACAATGCAACACAGTACGTGTAGCGGTGATTTATCTCTCTAAGAGAATCAGTAGATGTACTGTTTACTGCAGCAGACACGCTGTTTTGTGTCCACACAATCTTAGTCTTAAAGGGGAACGTTTGAGCCCATCCACGTTTTGATCCAAGAATTGATTATAAACTGAAATTAACTAAAATTGAATTAGACAGCGAAATAAACAATATGATTCATTAAAGTATAGTTTTGATAATTACTTTCTTCCTTGACCTGAGTTCTTTCCCTCGTTTGGTAAATCCGAGCCTTCGGTTTGTACGAGACCGTTGAATCGACTCGAGGTGACAGCAGCCACTCCTCCTGTGTTCAGGCGAGCTGACCTCGGCTCTTTATGTGAAGCTCACGTCACACACTGAGAACATCAATGAGCTCATATTGACCAGATACACCTCCAGCTGCTCTGCTCCACCTGCTGATGGACGAGCTAATGAGAGCCGCCATTAGCCGCGGACACAGCAGGCCAGGCCCACCCTGAGTTTAACGTGCATGATTTATCACAGTGTAACCTCCCCAATCTGTGTGTGTGTGTGTGTGTGTGTGTGTGTGTGTGTGTGTGTGTGTGTGTGTGTGTTTTTCCAGGTCTGGTAATCCACTGGCGAAGCTTCACGGCTCCTCCATCTTGGAAAGACACCATCTGGAGTTTGGAAAGACTCTGCTAAGAGATGAAGTATGCTGCAGTACACACACACACATGCTCGGACACACACACACACACACACACTCTTTCTTAAGCTACCCGGTATCCTTGTTGTCCTTTGACTTTTCTGACTTTCTGTCGTGTTTCAGTCATTGAACATTTATCAGAATCTGAACCGCCGTCAGCACGACACCGTCATCCACCTCATGGACATCGCCATCATCGCCACTGACCTGGCTCTCTACTTCAAGTGAGTCAGTCGGTGTCTACATTATTCCTCTGCTTTCAATGCAATTTAGTCAGCGAGTTTAGACAGAATAATGACATTTAATAGTCTTTTGTTATTGTTCAGTGTCAGTGTTCAGTGAATAATTTAAATAAGATGAACACTGACCTTTAGATTGATATTGAAACAATTCATTAGTTGACTAGTAAAAAGAGAATTATTCAGGCACACCCTTTACTCATATCTAACATACCAAACAATGTTTTATGATCACGAACACCGATACATGTTTATACCTTTTATTATCAGAAATATCCTCCTGAAATCTGCCCCGTAACCAAGCACCCTAACTACAGAGCAAAACCACCCTCTCAATAATGTTGACGACACAAAGAGAGTCGGGTTAATGTGTAGGAATCTGTATACTGCCTTGCGAACAACGTGCAATAAAGACAGATGAGATATATTGTTTTCTTTGTGTGCAGGAAGAGGACGATGTTCCAGAAGATCGTGGACCAGTCCAAGACCTACGAGAACTGGAACGATTGGACCAAGTACATGATGCTGGAGACCACGCGCAAAGAGATCGTCATGTAGGGCACACACACACACGCACACACACACACACACACACACACACACACACATGCCAATAGAGACGTACAGACCAACGGATCTCAGTCATGTGTTGTGTTTTTAGGGCCATGATGATGACTGCTTGTGACCTGTCTGCCATCGCCAAACCGTGGGAGATCCAGAGCAAGGTACACACACACACACACACACACACACACACACACACCTGTGTGATTCCACACAAGGTCTTTTTCATACTTCACAGTATAATGGCTGAAGAATGGCACCCCAGCCTCGCTAACATCCGGCCGCTCTCAGTAATAAGACACACACTCGTACGCACAGAGAGGCTGTGTGGCTCTTGTCAGTAGTGATTCCTGACGGCCTCATGCATCAAAAGCAACTTGCTGCTTTTCATTCCCCCTCATCACGCTATGGCTGCCTTTCATTTCAGTTAAGCGTGCGATAAACACATCGCCGCCGAGCCTGCACACACAGGACGCACATCCGGCTGTTCGACAGGCGCTACTGGAAGGTCGTTTTTTACCTTTTATTGGTGCGCTATTGACTGGGAACATATGCGCTTTATCAGTAAGGTCTGCTTCACATTCTTATACGCACACATGAGATGAAGACTCGGAGCGATCTCATCAACATAGAACCCATAAAAACACCAGAGATGGTAATTTACAGCACAGCTAGTTGAGAACTGGTGAAGTGTTTGATGCAGCATCTGTTGACAGAAGAAGTAGAGATAACCATTTATTTCTGCTTATGAAAGTATGTTTGTTTTATCAGATTTTCCTCCAATCGGTGTGTTCAAATAATTTTATCAGCAAATATTTTTATTTAATTTGTTCCACTTGTGCTGTGAAACCAAACCAGACGAAATAGAAAACCTTCTGATTCGGACCAGCCCAACAGACTATAGCTCATGAAAAATAAATCCCTGGTTGAAGTGATCCCACCCTGAGACCTTTTATTCAAGGGGTCACAAGTAGACATGGCTTCATTTCAGAGGGTCACAAGTCAGAACTGTTCGTACTCCGTCTCATTTTCTACATCAGTTGTTCCTGTGCTGTTACAGCATGAAACATTAAGGAAGATACTCGTCTCCCAGGCTCATTCCCTCCCGTCCATGAAATAACTCCACTTTATGAAAGTAGTATTCTAACACAAACTTTCACATCACAGCTCCACACTCTCTTCCTTTACAGAGAACCAAGAGTGACTTCTTCAGTTCATTTAAAACACAACCCTCCATGTGGTCGAATACTCAACTATGTCGTATCATTTATGTTTTCCTTTCACTTGCATGGCCTCCTCTGCCTCACTCGATTGACAAGCTAACGTATCTATAAAGTCTTATCTTAATCCACCTTTTACATCTAACTTTGTGAATTCAAACACTAACGCACATCACTTCTCAGATGGTTTTTAAGATAATTCGTCCAGCATGGCGAGCTAATCTTCTCTCTTTTGTATTCTGTTTCTTTACTTGAACAGGGACAATGCACGGACATTAATCTTATATAAAACAATGAGAGAGCAGTGAAAGCAGCATGAACCCGTGTGCTCCTCCTGGCTGCAATTGCTGGAGGTTGTTTGGTTTCAGAAGTCACTTTTCCATCTTGGGGTCAGAATCTTGCTCGATGTGGTCATCAGACACAACATGTTACCAAAGCAAAGTTTTACATGACTTCAGCTCTGGTACTCGGCTGCTGCCCATTAGGATATTCCACTTTTTTACTTTATTTTCTCGGGTTGGAGTTCACCTTCGGTGCACCTGGTGAGTCATATCTGCTTCCCACACACTGTCAGGATGTCTATGTGCAGCATCGGCCGCCCTCCTGAGAAGTGTTTTCTAAAAGTACTCTGATGACTAACTCTTCCTTTTTAAAAGGTGAATCCCTTCCTGAATACAGCGCTAACACATTCCAGCCGTCAAAACTGTTTTCATGTGCAGAGACCTCAGTAACAGATGTTGAATTAAGCAGCATAATAATAAATATCTCCTAAAGTACAGATTGATTCACTGGGATTGTTACCGATGATATACGTCCTTCCCTCGGATGTAACGGAGAGACAAAAGCTTGAGCTGCTTCATTCTTGATGAGATATTCTGCTGACATTTGTCATGGCTGATATTCACTCAGTTCTGCTTCCCACTCACACAGAATGTCTGGCTGCACAAGCCTCGTGACAATTGTTCCCCAAAACTGGCTCGATGACTAACTCTTTCTAAAATGAGGTTTCCATCCTGAATACAGGATTCACACTTTATTCATCAGATCTATCGTTGCTCTATTTCAGGTTTGTGAGAGAAGAATAAGAGCAGGTTTTTACTTCATCAAGACACAGAGCCTGAAACTGTGTGAATACTATTCTCATGTGTGGGACATTGTGGAAGCTTTATGGGCTGATTTTAACAACATGTACATGTATGAAGAGTTTTAGATTGTTATAATGTGACAGTGACATAACAGCAGTTAGAGTATATGAAGGCCTGGTCTTAAAGGAGTATTCCACCAAAATACGAACTGCAGTGCGGACATTATTCGTCTTGATAATAGAGTAATCATACTAACAATATGTGACGACTTGCCATTTCTCTCCGTTTCATGCCATTGTGCGTTGACCGCGTTTGGGTTTTGGACTGTTCATTGCACCAACAGAGCAACTTAAAGACGACATCTTTGGCTCTGGGTAACTTGTGATGTTTTAGTCGTACAAATACAGACAAACATTATGTCACCCGTATGGAAAACCTTCATCCCCCAAATTGTCAACATTTCACAAACGTTAAAAAGCAGTTTGGTTTACTGCTTCATCCAGAGGACTCATAACCAGAGTACGTGTTGAGGTGATGATCAAAATCCACGAAATGGTTGGTGCATGTTATTGTTTTTAATTGTCAACAGCACCTCTGAGACAGACTCCTTTCTTCTCCTCCTCTAGGTGGCGCTGTCTGTGGCTGCAGAGTTCTGGGAGCAGGGAGACCTGGAGAGGACGGTCCTGGAGCAAATTCCCATCGTAAGAACACCGAGAGCTCGACGCTAAGAATCCGGTTTAGATGTATTTGTCCTATTGACATCAAAAAAACACTAAACTTCTGCAGCTCCAACGGCAAAAAGCTGTGAAATGTTTGATCAATATTTTGAATTGGAAGATGTTGTTTTGTGATCCTGGATTTCTCTGAGTGATTGTTTTGTCCATATCTTTATTTTTTTTATCATTTAGTGCCGGTAAGTTAAAGTTTGAGCGGAGGAGAGAGAGGATTTGGTGGGTGGAGAGGAATCATGGGAGTTGAGGCAGGACGAGGCTCTCCTCGAGGCTCCAATTTAGGATGGAGAGCGGGAAGGACACGATTAGAGACGGCAGGGGACCGCGAGACGGAAACGCAGTTAGAAGACGAAATGAAAAGAACCGGTTTTGCCCCTGTGGCTGTGGCGTTGAGCGATGTACAGGCCATCACGTGGAGCACTGATACGCAGAGAGCAGCCAGTGTGGCTCTGACCCAGCCGACCGTACCCTCCGCTGCCTCTCTCTCCTCGCTCTGTTTCATCCCCTCATGTATGTCCTTGAGACACTTGAAGTGCGAGAAGCACCATCCCGCACTCCCCAGCCTCACACTGCTGTGAATTAATAGCATCTGTGTCAGCAGGGAAAACTTTTCATTTTGATCAGTTAGTGCTCTCCCAGCGGCCGGTTCTGTGACTCACTGTGGTCTGACAAGAAGAAAAAAGATTCAGCAGAGGCTGCGGCGCTCAATTTTCTCAGGAAATGTAGGTGGCAGTTTTTGCCAGCAATTACAGCCAGCGTGAACTCTCTGACAGCTTCTTACAGTCCAGTGTGCTGCCCACACTCACGTCTTTTTAGATGTGCCTGCTAATGGGACTCGAATGGGACTTAACAGGCTCATTCAACCTTTAATTGCACACTGAGGAACTCCATGTGGAGCCCTCTTTTACAACCTTGCAGAGTTACACTTTCCCCTCTTTTTTAAAACAACAGAACGTGACGCTTGTCTATAAGGAGCGCTCACTCTCTGCTGCTTTCAGGAGACTTTTTGGGGTTTCAGGTCCCGATTGGAGGCGTCTAACATTTCTTTTGTACAAACTGGTTTCTCAGTCAGTGATGGACGGAGCGCTCGGTAACATCGATGCATGTTTACAAAAAAAGAGGTCAGAGGTCAGCTTCAATGAGGCTGGGAACGCACCATTGCTGTTCTTAAAGGGATAGTTTGGCTCGTATGAGCTTTTTATCCATCGTCAGTGTTTTACCTTCAGTAGACGGCGGTGGCCACGCCCCCAGTTAGGAGAAACAGACATGCCTACCTGCACAGGTGCAAAGTAATGTAGTGCTGTGGACAGGGGCATCCGCAGAACATATTTCAGTCACCTGATATTAATGTTTTTAGGTAAGTGTAGTCTATATTTTGAATATTTTTGAAGGTGAAACTTATCTATGCTCTTGTCAAAGATAACTTTCTCTTTCAGCACAGTTTGAATGCTGGAAAGAGTCGTCTGAAGGAACGAAAAGCGGTCAAAATATTGTATAATATAGTGCACACCTGTTCACAGCAGCATATTGCTCTCATCTTTGTACTGTCTGTTTCTCCAAACTGGTTTTGTGTCGACCACCATCTACAGTAGGTAATACACTGACTATTGATAACTACCTCTATTGATAACTACCTCTGTTGATAAGTACCTCATAGAACCCCATTTCAAAACACCCAAACTATTCCTTTAAGAACAATCTACTTGATGTAGTTTCCTAATTATTGCGACAAACTTAATCTATAGTTTGCAGCAAGACGACAGGGTGGACAAAATAACAGCACCACTGTTTCATCACAGTTAGTCATTAAGATGCAAGGGCATAGCAGTCGAGTTGATGACCACATCAGTACACACAAGTGTTTTAATCTGTGTCTCCCTCTCCTTCTCCCTCTCCCTCTCTCCTTCAGCCCATGATGGACAGAAACAAATCAGACGATCTGCCGAAGATGCAGTGTGGTTTCATCGACTTCGTTTGCACTTTTGTGTACAAGGTCAGACGTCACACCACACGGAAATATTCACTCCCGATTTCTTTAACACACCGTGACATTGGCTGCAGCTGGATTATCTGTAGGTACATTTACAAGGTGTGACAATCAAGTCGAGCAGTTAATGGCATTTTAACTTGATATTGACTTTTCGGCTGTGTACCTTTATTTACTAGTGACTTGATAACTATCATCGTCTTTGTTCGCACTATCTGAAGCTCATTTGTTTGCGTTACATTTACAACATTTAATAAATGTCTGGTTCTAACAAAGCTGTATTGATTGTGTGTGATTTGGTTTGTGTTGACGCGTCGTCCTCTCCAGGAGTTCAGTCGTTTCCATGTGGAGATCACCCCCATGCTGGACCGCCTGATGAACAACAGGAAGGAGTGGAACGCCCTGAAGGAGGTGCACGAGGCCAAAGTGGCTGTCATCGAGGAGGCAAAGAAAGCCAAGGAGGAGAACGCTGCGGGGGCCAAACAAGGTAGGGGCCTCTCAGACATGTGAACACACACAGACCCTTTCTTTCTCAGTTTCATGTGGGACGTAAATGCCTCTGAGCCTAAACAGTCCATGTGCCGATTCTACATTAAGGTGAGACGTATAAACCGTCGCTTAATAATCCCAGTAGAGACACACAATTACAAACATTCAGGTGAAGACATTGTAAAATTATTTAATGCATTTTTAATGCTGTCACATTGATAAAAGAAATAACTTCTGCTCTGTTTTTCCTGTCTCCCTTCCTTCCTTTTTTCTTCCTTTCCTTCCTTCCTCCTGCAGGAAGTGCCGCCCAGTCACAGTCAAAGACTTGTATTGTCAGTTAAAGATGCTTCAACAGCACCAGTTTGCTTGCTACAGTACTTTGCCGTTGTCCAGCATTGGCTTCCCCTTCTTTTTTAAAAATCCATTGAGAGCGCATCTCTCACTTCAACATACACGTTACAACTGTCTCTTCTGCTTCTTCCTGTCCATCCTTTGATACTGTACTACTCATCATATGCACTTGGCATAATGATGTGTTCAGACGTTGATGGGAGGCTCCAACATACGAGAGTCAGCTATACCCAAAAGAAAAATCTAACTTAGAACGCACGCACCTCGGTTTGGAGAAACAGACATGAGTTCCAGCACAGGAGCCGGTAAAATGACAACTTTTGTCCATGGAGTCTGGTGGTGTGGGGAGAGAGCATAGATGGACGTAGCCACGTCATTTCACGCTCGGAAGGAGCTGTCTGACGGCACGATAAAGCTGTGACAATATTCTGAATGCAACGCACACTGAAACGGATGATTTTTTTAAGGTCGTCTAAAATATGTTGTGTTGCTGCCCTCGTCTACAGCAGTACATAGCCGAGCCTCCGTGCTGGTACTCCAGTGTCTGCTCCTCCAATCTGGGGGCGTGCGACCGCCATCTCCTGCTGGTAATACTCTAGCTTTTGGTACCTCACACAACTTCACTTTAAAACATCCAAACTATCCCTTTTTAGTCTCTATAAATTGATTCTAATGCTGTACTGGTATTAACTAAAAACCAGCTGCTGCCTAGAAAAAGAAATGTAACAACACACTAATGTTGAGTAGCTGATGGGCAAATTTAAAGTAACTATGATGATGACGGGGCAGTTATCCACGGATGGAATCTAAACTAATTCCTCCAGTTCCTCCTGATTAAACGAACTATTTATGGGTCAAATAGTCCAACTTTATAAGTTTGGAAATGCAAATGAAACAGAGGACATTGCATTGTAAAACAGACGTGTGCTGCGAATCCCACATGTGTAGTCTCGCTCCGTCACTGGCTGCTCACTGCTCCGAGGTGTTTTGTAGTTAAATCTAATTTTAACTCATGATAACATGGTATTTTGAGCCTTTTTAGCATTGCACACCGCACCATCTTCCTCATGTGACCTTCAGTGTTAAAGCTGGTCAAACTACGGATCAAATGTGTTTCTATGGGATCATTTCTCACTCAACGTGATACGTTTACTGTAGTTGATGAGAAGATGTGAATGTGCTTACACGTCACTTTGCAGAGATAAGTAAATATATGCTATTTTCCTACTGAATGACTTTGTTGTCTGTGTTTTTACTGAGCTGTGTCTCTGTGTGGCAGTTTGGTGTTGACCCGTTTAGTGTAGGTTAGCTTTAGTGTCTGTATCTGCTGGTACATTCAGATGATGATTCGAGATCAATTTCTTGTGTCTTGGTGTATTGTGTAAATGATGATCTAGTGCTGTTGTGTGTGCTTGAGTGTGTGTGTGTGTGTGTGTGTGTGTGTGTGTGTGTGTGTATGTATGTATACAGTAGGTGAGCTTATGTCTACATAGTAGAAAGTATCTCAACATACCAGCCTCACTTTGTGTAAATGCATCTATAGTTCTGCTGGGGAACTTAAAACTTCTCCTTCAGACCGTCACCTTCAGCACGCACTGGGGCGGTTTGCAGTCGCGTGTGAAGCGGTCAGTACCTCCAAAGTCCGAGGCCGTGGTGTTCTCTCTCCATGGTGTATTGCGTCCTCCTTGGGAGTAAGTCAGTGCCCCAAGCACAGGAGTTGAAGTATCTCGGGGTTCTGTTCAGAAGTCGCGGTAAACGGAACGTGAGATGGACGTAGTACCAGACCTTTGAGGTGAAGAGGGAGAGCTCTTAATTTACCAAAATTCATGCCATATCCATTAATACAGCCAATATGCTACAACATTTAAATGGTCCAAAATACCCCCGGTGTGGCACAAGGGTTAAACACACGTTTGTGTACATCAGACAGCGTATTCAAATGCACTTCTGTCAGCGCTTCCTTTCTAAGACTCAGACTCGTTTCTCGGCATGTTTGTTGAACTCTCTCTGCACTTTCATTTCAGTCCCAAGAGAATCTGTTTGGAAAAGTTTTGCACTCTTTTCAACAGTGGGGATTTACAACCCAGCAAGCATTTGATTGACGGCAGTGCGAAGGAGCTACCAAGTGTTGTGCCAAAATGTATTTCCCCAAAAATAGGCATCCCCTGTTGGTAGTGTGTCTCTTCAGCAATTTCAAGCAAAGGGAAAATAAATAACAGAAATCTCAATCTTTTCAGCCCAAACCACAAATTATTGATTCTACAAGAAGGTTTTCAGGCTATAATAGTTTTTTTTACCATTATTTGGCCTGAAGAAATCTCCAGTAAGCAGGGTGACGGTTAAAACTGGGTTTAACTTAAGTGGTAAAAGTAAAGTAAAATGTTTTCAGATTTCTAGGTTTTATATAAGCATTGTTGCGACAGCATTGAACTTATTCTATTTCAACGTGCGTTGTTGGAAGAAGCTGCATCATGCTGGATAAATGTTACTGTGACCTTCATGTCTACAAAGCTCATTTTAAACCTATACGCACTCAAAACCCGGCGCCTGCACACGATGTTCATGGTAAAAGCATGTTTGAAAATCAAACTAAACATTGAAAAATCTAGTTGACACATTTTTTAATTGAAATCAGATAAACATGCATTTTTTTTTTTACAAAAGGGATACATGATGCAGCTGTGGAGAAGTAAACATGTAGCATACAAACTCTGATTATCATCTCAGTAGTAAACCCTGTTGGTGTGAACGAGAGAGAATGGTCTGCAGCACTAGTGCAGGAATGCTGCAGGAAACATGCATAAAAGAGGACTTATACAGCAGCTGACCATGTTTAAATATCTGCCAGCTGTGCCTCCGTGTGTGTGTGTGTGTGTGTGTGCGTGTGTGTGTACACACTGGTTAATTCTCCCACCTAGAGCCATACATAATACTGTTATAAAACACAACATGACCCCTGAGTGGGATAATGAATAGTGATCGCCACTGGAGCCACGATGGGGGGGGGGCAGGACTTGAGCTAAAATCATTATCCACCCATCCCTCCCCCCCCTCCCTCCCTCACACCCATAGTAATATAATAATAGCATGGATATATAACCTGCGTGTGTCGTCACTGGTGTATGACGAAAGCACCCATGACGTAAGGGCGTGCTGGGAGCTCAAAGGATTGCCGTATATGGTTATGATGATCGGCGGAGCTTGTAAAGCTTGGCTCTGGCGCAGCGACATCCCGTGACTGCAGAGAGGGAGAGAGGGAGAGACGGAGAGAGCAGCAGCTGCAGTACACCCAGTGAGCCTACAGGAAGGGAGCTTTAGCCTCATTCTAGCAGTAATCGGGGGGCAGTCGTGACTGCAGAGCTGCCAGCCTGCGAGCCACAGTCGAGAGAGCGATGCAGGACTATTTATAGAAACCGGTGTGTGCATGGGTCGGCCGCAGTCTCTAAGCAGAGGAAGTTACTTGTTTGCTCAGGCTTGCTTGCCCCAGCATTGCAGTCTCATCAGCATTTTATGACGCACGCATGTAGGTTATTGTATAATAGCGTTTAGCCGACGCTCTGGTCACACAAGGATAACCTGATACCCTGACAGCTGAGGTGGTGATGGGTGTGCATGTGTCAGGGCTTCAGCACTCACACCACAGACGCAATAACCAGGGCTGCAACAATGAGTATTTATTATCCTCCTCCATATCCACGTTGTTTTACAGTATCTTATATATTCAGCATATATATTCTGAATTAACTTAATTAAAACATTGATTGAGATATACAAACCCAATAGCATCCCATCAAATGGTAATGCTTTAGATGTATTGTTAATCCTTTTAGACAAAGTTTCTCAAAATTCAGCCACATATATTATAAGTCCGTGATCTCCACTAGGATTTAAAGTACAGTTCTGTGTGGTTAAACAATGTTTGACTGTACAGCGTGCGCTTGTAATGACCGACCCACTTGTGAATCACTGATCATTGATCAGTCGGTGTTTAAAATGCCAAAAATAATCAATAATATCTGTTGTATATTACTAGAGCCCAAAGATTGATTGAATTAATCTGATCAACAGCCAAACTAACCCAAAGTATTAATTAATAACGATCTGAAACAAATCAAAGAAGAAATGTGTGGCATTTGATTACTAATAAGCTCAACGGCCGGATTAATAAATGAATCGCAGGAGGAGAGAAGCACAAAGAAATATCTGAAATCACTTCTTTCCAAAGACAAAAGGGTATTAAAGTGAGGGGGAAACCATGTGACCTCTTTCATCTGTCTTTTCTCTTTCTTTTAATACAAGCAGAGAACATTCCCAGGTGATTTCAGTCACAGCAGGTGTGATGTATGCGGCTGCTTGGATCAACATGTCTCATGAGGACAGTTAAGAAGCTTATCCAGCAATATGTGCAGGAAACCAACCGTATCACAAACTGCAAAACGTTGAATTTGCGTGCGTCTGTTCGGTGCTGTAACACCAAATACTGTTGTTTTCCATCTCAGGGTCGTAAACCTTCTTTGGGAAGACAAGTGGGTTGTTTTTGGGGTTGTGTAATTTAAAGCCGGGTGAACAAATATTCATGAGTTATAAAATATGTTGTGATATTTACCTAAATTTAACCAGGTCAGAGTGAAATGCAATTGGGCCAAGATGGATAATAATATAGCAGGTCAACAACATTAAACAATTGAATAAAATCATCATTAGCAGATGCAGAGCAATAAATAACATCATAAAACTGCTGGAAATGTGTAATATATTCAAGCTTTTGATAAAATCCACAGTATAGTAGAGGTCTGTAGTTGTATGTCATCGTTTTGTGCATGTGTGTGACACAGGGTCAGCGTCCACTGAATGTAACAGTTATCAGTGTGTTGCACAACGTGACCTCTGACCTCCTACTGCTCTCTGCAGTGTGTCATGTTCTGTGTGTCCTGAGAGACGACTCCCGCTGTAGCCCATGTAGAAAATAAAAGCTCATTTCTTAAATAAACCCGTCCCAATGCATTTTAAAACACACTTACTTTAAAATAAGATAAACCTCAATCAGAATGAATAGCAGCAAAATGAACTTTAATGTACAACAAATATGAAAACAAATTTTTGCACAAGGCTGAGCCGCACCACACGATGATACGATACAACTTTACTGTCACTTTACTTTGGTATTCATGTTGCAGCCTTAGGCAGTTCCACTCAAGGAAGTTGCACACAGTTACACATATATGACATTATATTATACATGACTCTTCCCTAGACGTACATTCAAACACTCATGACGATTCTCACATATCCTATTGGAGGAGAGAAGTTGGTGCTCTGCGTTTAAAACACACGAGGAGTCAGAAGAGATGCTGTTACCAAGCTTGAGCGTGGAATATCATTTTGCTGTTGGAGAGGTGCGGTACCACGGTCAAACCCCGTGCAAAGGCAAAATAGTCACACACTCGGTGCAAAACATCTTTAATAATTTACCAACGTTTCGACATGTCGGTCTCCTACCTTGAAGAAGTCCGCCATGTCGGATGGACAAGATCCACAAGGGGCTCCGTGCTTACGCACCACATCAAGGTCGGTCAAAGGATCTGCTCAGTATAAAACGTACAGGCGCTGGCCGTGCAGAAAGGCAGATTGAATCTGTTGGTGTGAGTTAACACAGTGTCCCATCCCCCCCC